CTACTACTACTCCTATCCGATATTGTGATAACCACGGTTGTCGATTACAAGTTTATCACTTCCACAATGATAGGTGATCTTGTTAATTGACTTTTCATTTTATATCCAATTTTACCCCTACACGTCTTTAATACTTCTAAAAACTATTTAATATTTATTTATTTTAAAAAAATCCATCACAACTTCAAAATTTGTGACTTAAAACACAATACTTGACTTAAAAGTGTTCTCACATTTTCGTAACCACAATATCTGATTTACTAGACTTGTCTTGTCCAGTTCGCTTTTCGATTACCATTCTCGAAGAAATGGGCGAACTCGAACTGACTTGTTAAAATTAATGGATGGACATGGGTGATCAAAATTTTTTTGGGCAGCCCACCCGGCTCGTTATTGTTTTTATATCTATTAACTTTTATAATTAAATTTTACAAATAAAATTGAAGTTTTTTTATACTTCTTAATTTCCACTTAATTATGACCCATAATGATAACACTTTTTAAGAAATCTAAAAAGTAATAACATGATCTTTATTACCTTATTTGGTCATTTCCTTTATCGATACTCTAATTTTGCAAACAATTTTTCCTAAATTATGCACATTGTTATGTATTTACGTCTAATGTTAAGTTGGAAAATTGTTGTGTGTTTTGAATTATTTTACATAATTTATGGTTTTATAAAAGTTTTGTTTTCTTAAAAAAAAAAATTAAGGTCCGTTAGCCTATGCGCAAGCCCGACCTTTTTATAGAGTCGGTGTGGGCAAGTTTTCAAGCCCACAAATGATTAGCTCTAATTTACGTTCACTATCAAAACCAGAGTCCTATAACAATCAAGTGTGATGAGATGTTTCTTATATATCTTAAGGGACGTTTACCAAACACTTACCCGGTAAGCACTTACTGGTAAAATTCAATACTATTATTTACTTAACTGGTAAAATTTTAGTCAATAAAAACGGCTTTCTATGCAACAATTTACCTGGTAAGAGCTGATCGTGGTAAGAGTCATTGCCCTCGTCTTACTGGGTAAGGCTCTCAGTCCTTGTCTCGGTAAGATAATATAACTTGATAAGCACTTACCCAAGTGAGCATTTGATAAACGGCCCTGTTTTATACGATATATATATATATATATATATATA